TAATTTTCTCAATCATTACAACTGTCTCTCTGATGGACCCAACTTCTCGCCCTGCCGTCGTCATCGACAACGGCACCGGGTATTTTCTCTTCTTATAATATCTAAATCGTCCATCCTTACAATTTGTCTATACATCTGAATAGGATTGTGCGCGCAACCTGTTTGTTGAAATAAAGCAATTGAGTTTTCACTTTATCCCTGTCTGTCAATTGTTTTTTTTCAACATTTTGAAATTTTTTGTTACCTGTTTTGGTATCTTCCAGGTATACTAAGATGGGATTTGCGGGGAATGTAGAGCCGTGTTTTATTCTTCCAACAGTAGTTGCTGTTAACGAGTCGTTTTTAAAACAATCAAGGAGCTTTTCAAAGGCCAATTGGCTAGCGCAGCACAGCGCGGGGGTCATGGCGGATCTCGATTTTTTTATAGGAGAAGAGGCTCTTGAAAGATCACGATCTAGTAGTACTTATAACCTTAGTTATCCAATTAAGCATGGCCAAGTTGATAATTGGGATGCTATGGAGCGTTATTGGCAGCAGTGTATATTCAACTATTTGCGGTGTGATCCAGAGGATCATTATTTTCTATTGACTGAGAGTCCCCTTACTGCACCAGAGTCTCGTGAATATACTGGCGAAATTATGTTTGAGACCTTCAATGTTCCTGGGCTTTATATTGCCGTCAATTCAGTGCTAGCACTTGCAGCTGGGTACACGACATCCAAGGTAGGTGTTCAAGTTACGAATTTAACTCTTTGCCTGGGTTCATTAGAGGATGACAGGAACTAGTTTTGGAAGTCATGTGTTAATTTGTGATTTTTGAAATGATTTATTCTCAATTATGTTTAAAGACTTTGGATTTTTTGGTTTACTTTTGGATTGCATTTATTTCATACTGCCGTTTAATGGTCTGGGTTTACTCATATATAGCAATAGGAAATTATCAGGATGATTTGGCCTCCCTTCATTACATGAAAATGACTTTCAGTTTTTATTTTCTATATTTATATGATTTTTTTTTTTGCAAAATCATGCAAGGTCATTAATAATATAGATAATAATTGTGAAAATGACAATGGAAATAGAAAAGTTTTAAAAAATTAAATTTTTGTGTTTTCTAGAAAACTATTTTATTTGTGTTTTGATTACTCCACAAATATGTAACTGTTACATACTACCATGAAAAAAAACATGCCTAAATTTTTGTAAACTTAAAAAGTAAAATTTAGGAGATATTTTCATGTACCGGACTGAGCCTTAATTCGTATTAATATTAACTAGTTATTGGTTGCTACCTTAGTATAAGGGAAGAGACAAAATAAACATGTAATTTCCCTTTCTTAGTGCATGTGACTAGATTCATTGCCATTCCTGAAAAAAGATAAAAGGTTCTTGCGTCTTTAATTCTATCTTCCTATGTTATTAACCCTTTTTTTCTCTTTAAAAAATTATTGGGTTGTAAGACTTCTTTTACTGCTCTTTTAAACGACCGACATTAGCATTGGGTGTTTCCTTTAGCGGATGTCAACTGATTATTTTTTTTTCTTTAATGTTCTATATTTATTAATCCTTTCCTTTTAGATTGACCTATAGTCTCCTTAGTGTGAGATGACAGGGGTTGTAGTGGATGTTGGAGATGGCGCTACTCATATTGTACCTGTTGCAGATGGTTATGTTATTGGGAGCAGCATCAAGTCGATTCCAATTGCTGGGAAAGATGTCACTCTCTTTATCCAGCAGCTTATGCGGGTATAATATTCCCTCTGGAACTATTATGTTCAGTTATTTTTTATTGCTTTTACGTCTTCCCATTGTTGCCTATGTATTTCTAGCCATTGAAATCTTTCATGTGCATGTCATAGTACGAGAAGATATATGCTATTATCTTTTTTTAACTGGTACTTGTTTTTATTTAAATGTGCTTGTTTAACTAAGACTTCCCGACTGATATACTAAGTAAGATGCTTGTGTTTGGAACAATGCCATCAATTTTTAGAAGAAACTGGTTGTTAATGTGATAAATAACAACCGAGTTTAATGTTTGTACCTTCCAACTTTTCTCTTACCTACATGTCCTTTGATCTGCTGTTATGGCTTGCTTTTCTGCTCGTTGGTGATTTATAAACAACATCATTCCAGAAGTAGTTAGCTGGTGTTCTATATTTATGCTTACACCACAATCCCTTATGATTTCAGAAAAATTTGGATTAATTCTCTATTTGTGCTTCGTGGGAATTTGCTTTTTGAACATTTCTTTCTGTAGGAAAGAGGAGAGAATATACCACCTGAAGACTCATTTGAAGTAGCCAGGAAAGTGAAGGAAATGTATTGTTACACTTGTTCTGATATTGTCAAGGTAATTCTTTAAGGCCAATATATCGAATCACTGTAGCTATTTTTTATTAGCTTGAAGAGCTACTTTTGTGTTTGAAATGAGGTTTTGAATCTTATGTTACTCCTTTAAAGATGCGAGTTCTGTTATTATTCCAGGAGTTCAACAAGCATGACAAGGAACCAGGCAAATATATTAAGCATTGGAGAGGTATTAAACCAAAGACTGGGGCACCATACTCCTGTGACGTTGGCTATGAACGATTTATGGGTCCAGAGGTTTGTTATATCTCTTTTATCTTGCAAAAAAGTCACTTCATTCAGTCCCAAATTAGTTGAATTCTACCATGAAAATTGTTAGAAATACAACATTGCTCCCTGGAGCTAATTACATAAGACTTCTTAATTCAGAGCTATTTAATTTACGAAGTAGGTGGCCTCTTAACTTTATTATTGTTATCTTTTTATCACTTGTGCAAGACAATAGACTTCTCACTATTCATTCTCTCCAGAGTTATCATTGATAATCTTTAAATTGTTAGATTTTGTCAATGTTTTTCTTACATTTGTGACGTCCTTACCTCTTGATTGTCCATGCTACCACAATGTCAGTATCTAGATTAAGTTTCTTTCTAGTTTAGTTGTTTCCGTGATTTTCTGATGGATCTAGTTTCTCTACTAGATGTTTGATTGTTGATAAGTAGTATGATATATTTTAATGGTGTTGAACAAGAGTAGACAGGAGAAATTAAAGAAGAAATGAAAGTTACAGCTCTTGGATCTCAGCAATCAACTTTCTTAGTTCTCAGTTATTTTCAATACCTATCACCTTATACATGTCCATAACTTTTCTAGAGGCAGCAGCTTTACATCCAAAATAATAGAAGAAAATACTTAGCATGAAAGGAATCCCTATAAGAAACTAAGTTAGATTAGAACCTAAATGAATTTTTTTTTACATTTGTGATGTCGTTACCTCTTGGTTGTCCATGCTACCACAATGTCTGTATCTAGATTTATTTTCTTTCTAGTTTAGTTGTTTCCATGATTTTCTGATGGATCTAGTTTCTCTATTGGGTGTTTGATTATTGGTAAGTAGTGTGGTAAATTTTAATGGTGTAGAACAAGAGTTGATTGGAGAAATTAGAGAAGAAATGAAAGTTACAAATCTTGGATCTTAGCAATCAACTTTCTTAGTCCTCAGTTATATTCAATACCTATCACCTTATACATGTCCAAAACTATGCTAGAGGCAGCAGCTGTGCATCCAAAGTAATAGAAGAAAATACTTAGCATGAAAGGAATCCCTATAAGAAACTAAGTTAGATTAGAACCTAAATAAATTTTTTTTTTACATTTGTGATGTTGTTACCTCTTGGTTGTCCATGCTACTACAATGTGTGTATCTAGATTTATTTTCTTTCTAGTTTAGTTGTTTCCATGATTTTCTGATGGATCTAGTTTCTCTATTAGGTGTTTGATTATTGGTTAGTAGTAGGGTAAATTTTAATGGTGTAGAACAAGAGTAGATTGGAGAAATTAGAAAAGAAATGAAAGTTACAAATCTTGGATCTTAGCAATCAACTTTCTTAGTCCTCAGTTATATTCAATTCCTATCACCTTATACATGTCCAAAACTATGCTAGAGGCAGCAGCTTTACATCCAAAATAATAGAAGAAAATACTTAGCATGAAAAGAATCCCTATAAGAAACTAAGGCAGAGTGGAAACTAAATGAATTCTTTATATAATTAATCTGTATATCCTGGTTTTGGGATTGAGTCCTGGATTTAGTGAGGTTGAAATAAGTAGAATTAGTGTTTAAGGCTCAGTAGAGAAAACCCTTCGATCTCTAGAAATGGATACTCCAAAACATTCTTCAAAGTAAATTCTCAATTCATAATTTTATTGTGAAGTAGCTTACACATACGGGAAAAGTGATGGCTACTAGTTTTTGAATATTACAGGATCTGATAAGTCCTTGTTACAGCACAGTTTCCTTTCGTTTTTAGTTTCTAAATAGCACAACGTCCTATTTTATTTTATTCCTAATTCGACTCTCATGTCCTGTGTTTTTCCTTAACAATTCTTAGATAGAAACCTAAGCCAAAACCACAAAGAGTTCAGTGCCAGCTTGCTTTTCTGCATTTACATCATTGATTATAACATTACATCCCTCTTCAGTGCTTGTCCTTAAGCACTAACATTGGAAACAGTCAGCCTACAGTAAAGAGCCACGCAAAGGAAGAAGTCTAATTCTGTAGGTCGTCCATCTGCTGTGTATACATGGAGTGCAACCTGTTGTGAAACTTGTTACTCTAGTTAAAACTTAGTAAACTCCATTCACACGTCTCTTTAATCATGGGTTCATTGATTCTGCTTTTGTTCTCTCTTGCTTGCCTTAGCTGCTAAAACAGATTCTTGTGACAGCTCCATCAAGATATGTAACCCAATCTTCAATTGCTTTTGCTGAACTGCAGCCTCAATTTTTTGCTTCCATGCTGTGACTTTCATTTTTAGACTTCTCCCAGCCAGCATTAGCTTCTCATAAAAATTTGGTAGACTGCATAACCAGGTCACTTTTGGCACCTACATTTACCCGAGATTCTGAGAAGCTGATTAATTTTTTCTGCCTGCTACTTTATGTTATCATTAACATCTTCACTGTTAGCTCAGACTTTTGTGTAGCATCAGGAGGTTGACTGCTATTACTCGGAGATCTTTACACCCTTGGGCTGTTCAATATAAAATATTGTTAAACTCGTGTGTGATTCATATTGGTTATCAAATAGCTACTTACCATTTTTGTCTATTAATGAAATCTCAATATAGTGAACTATCAAAAACAAACCACATGAACATAATTTAGAACAGGTCAAACTACAAAGGGCAAAACTGTAACTTGCTCTTTAGAAGTTAAAAGTGAGGTTCATTAAAGAGTACCAAAGAGGTGCCACCCGAATAAAGAAATATACAATAGATAAAATTTCCTAGTCAGTCAAAATGTCTATCACTTCTCCTAAATTTTGAGCTGAATTTAGCATGGATGACACTTCAAATCAAAGAACAAAGGATTTGGAACCAAATATCCCACTCTGTTGAAATAGTTCAAACATCCTCTAAGAATTTTCTAGTTCTTTCCCTCCAAATAACCCACAAAGTAGCACAAGGGATGAGAGGAATGAGCTTTCCTCCTTTATCAGCCAAGATGCCTTACCACGTCTATAATTTCTATGATTTCTTCTAAAATTTTAGCTGAATTGAGCATGATCGTCCTGTAAATGAAAAAACGAAAGTTTGTAACCAAACATCCAAACTCTGTTAAAAGAGTACAATATTCTCAACAAGTCTTCTATTTTCCTTCCAAGTCACCCATGGAGCAGCAAGATCGATGAGAGAAATAAGCTTCTTCCTTTTCTTATCAGGCAAGATTCCTTGCCATGTCTTTGATGCCTACGATTTCTCCTAAACCTTAGCTGAATCGAGCACTGATGAGCATTAAATGAAAAAAAATAAGGGTTTGGAACCAAATATCCCAATCTCTGTCGAAAGAATACAAACATCCTCAAAGAGTCTTTTATTTCTTTCCTTCTAGATAACCTCAAAAAGTAGCAAGAGGACAAGAAAATTAGCGTCTTCCTTCTCTTATCTACCGAGATGCTTGCCACATCCACAACTCATTCATCACTGAAGCAGCTTTGACCTACTGCACTTTGAAGAGATTGAAATCATTGATTACAAACGATGTGAAACTTTGCATCGTGACAAAAGATGATCTAGAGTGTCCATAACATTCTTGCACAGAAAATATCCATTCACTAGAATCTGTCCTTTCTTAATTAGATTATCCACAGTGAAGATACAATTGTTAGTTCAAAGCAAAAAAAAAACAAGCTATTCTATGAGAAGGATTTCTCTTCCAGATCTCCTTCTGAAGGAAAGGGGAAAAACTTGAGGAGAAATTGCTGATGGGGATGTCTGAAAAGGAACTGTTAGAGCATAGCTTCTGAAATAATTCATCTTCTCTGGACTAGGCAATTTGATAGTTTCAATTTTGTGAAGTAACTGAATGTAGTCCTCTTCCTCTCAATTATTAAAAGTCCTCACAACCTCCACCCCACAGTCCCACACCACTTAGCCACTGACCATTGAGAAATAGTTGCTCTTAAGGCATCTTTCTTTCTAGCCGAAATGAAGGAGGAAGCTGGGTGTGAAGTAGGGGAGAGCTAGCCACTAACTTGGCCGATTGGAACAAGCATTTTAACTTTATCGAAAGCTATTCTTGCAAAACATTTAGTGAGTTATAACATGATCACTAATTTGGCCAAACAGGCCTAAGAAACCCATTCGTACTTCCCTGTAAGCTCTGGGCCACTCTCTGGTAACCCAAACAGGTTTGTTTTCATTGTGAAGTGTCTACTCCAGATCAGTGGAGGTCTAAAGGTTCAGTGTCAAATAAGGTCGAGAGCTGGCAAGGCATTGGCTGAAGTGATGATCAGATGAAAAATAGGGAGAAATTGATCAAGAAATGGGAATTGGAGATCTTAAGTCTCAATGATCAGAATAACAATTGCAATAGGCATGTCTGAAACAATGATGAGGTACCTTTACATTGGTACCACCCATGATGCAACCAAAACAGGCTTCGAAAATGCCTAACATAATCTAAGTTTCTAATAGGAAATTAACCTGGAATAGAGCCTTAATAGATCTGCTATCTTCTGCTAAGAACCTTATAGATATTTTCTGTCCTCTACTGAAATGTAAATAACTTTTTACATATGCAGCGCTATTATTCTTAAATTCCTAATATTCTTAAACTCCTAACTACTTTTATTTTTAAGTATGCTAGAAATTTGTAACATTCGATAGAATATGAAAATTACATAATTATTTTTTATAGTATTTCTTAAAATTATAATTTTGCATTGGTGTCTTATCGGCTTAGGATAGCCACAGTATTTGCTAAGCAACGGAGTAAGAATAATGATGTTTGCCTGTTATGCTGGTTTCTGATGTTTATACAAGTACCTGTTAAATTCTCTTTTGCTTTTAAGATGCAAATATTTAGTGAAATTTGACTTAATGAACTCTGACGTGTTTTGTTAATGGAGTTTGCTTATGTGCTCCATGCCGTACATTTAGCAATGTTTTATCCATGTCTTTGTCAGGTTTTCTTCAATCCGGAGATATACAGCAATGACTTCACAACTCCTTTACCAGCTGTAATAGACAAGTGCATTCAGTCTGCACCAATTGACACAAGGAGAGCGTTGTATAAGGTAAGGTGCATGAGGGATGGAGGAGGTGTTTGGTCTTCAGAAGATACGCTCATTAAGAAAGTTCCAATAATATGTGCAAATGCCCTAGTCTATGTTCCGATTGTCATGATTTCTTCTAAGCAACTATTACAAGATTGCTTCGTTGTTTTGCATGCTGCATTCCCCGGTTTGGATACATCATGTGGTAATTTAAGTGCTTGAGTGCACTTGCATTTGAATGTATGCAAATTTTGATGTTAGCAACTTAACACTTCTCAAAAAATAATTTTGGGAACTTGCCTCTGTATGTCCTACTTTCTCAAGTTTTTGACTGGTATTTGCTTTCTCTCTGTGCTGTACGTTCTGAAACTAATTAGGTTATCTTCATATCAGAATATAGTACTGTCTGGAGGATCAACCATGTTCAAGGACTTCCACAGAAGGTTGCAGCGAGATCTTAAGAAAATTGTGGATGCCCGGGTTCTTGCATCCGAGGCACGGCTTGGTGGGGAAATAAAAGTAAGCGTTTTGGTGTTGGTATTATTGACAGATCCATGTGGCATGTATATGATTAGTATAGTTATTTATATTATCAAGAGGCTGAGCATTTCTTCTTCCTTTTGGCTTCCAGTCACAACCTGTGGAGGTCAATGTAGTCAGCCACCCTATCCAGAGATTTGCAGTGTGGTTTGGAGGTTCTGTTCTTGCATCAACACCTGAATTTTTTGCGGTATGAACCTGAACCTATGGTAACATACTGCATATACCTCCTTTTCTTGACCAAATCTATGGGCTCATATTTCTGTATTACCAAATCCATAAGCTGGTATTTGTCTTTTATACACAGACTGCCAACTAACTTTTTGTGTTGTTTTTCCTTAACTTAAAATTGAAGAAAGCTGAAAAGTTTGCTAAATGTGCAGGCTTGCCACACAAAAGCCGAGTATGAGGAATATGGAGCAAGCATATGCCGCACAAATCCTGTTTTCAAGGGAATGTACTGACGCAAAGATTCATTTCAGCTGATCCTTGGCCGACACCTCTTTGTGACGGCACACAGAGTATTGTATTTTCACCTCCATTGTGCACCTCAGTTCACTTTGCTTGCCCATATTTGCTTAGTGCTCATGTGTAGTTGATTTTGAGAGGTGATGTAAAATATCCACATTAGCCTATTGTAGCAAAAGAAAAAGAAAAAGAAAAGAAAAGAAAAGAGATTCTTGTATTCATTTGTTTGTTAGGGAGCTATAAGTCTTCTCTAAGACAAGCTGCTGGCCGACATGTTGCCTGCACACGCTGCAAGCATATCAAGATCAGAGAAGAGTTAAACAATTAGGTAAAGACGGAAACTGAGCTGAATTTCATTTTTGGTTTTCGGCTTAGGGTACGGAAAAGATTATCTTTGCTTTTCATTTTCGGTTAGGAGTGATATATTCCGTCAATATATATTTTCAGGTAGGGAGTTGATCTGAGTTGGATATTTGAATACACTTGTATCCTCTTTGTTTCTTGGGACAGATTTTGTATTTGGGTTGAATCTTACAAGTAGCGTTAGACAAGGTCCTTTATTTTGTCCATGAATCCCATTATGTGACTAGATCAAATAACCTCAGCTTATTAAGAAGAAGTACAGAATCTTGATACTGGATTTTCTGTGTAAATGATATAATGCCTTCTGGCTGATGGTTGAATCCCCTCTCCAAATGTAATTGTTTTTCCCTTTTGATTTCCAGCTGATTCTTGCAGTTGAGACTATTCTGAATGTTAGAGATTCCCAGCTACAGTAATTTGTGAAAGGTACATGTTCAATGGCAACTTGCTTGATTGTATTTCTTTGCTTGGGACGAGGCTTGAAACTTTAGCTGATTAAACGTCAGAAAGGGGATATAGACATGGAATATATATATATATATATATATATATGTATGTGTGTGTGTGTACGCATATGTGTTGTGCTTAGTCCAAAATGTCCAACGGGTAGAAATGATCTAATTTAGAGGGAACAAAAAGATAATTATATAGGAAATAAAGTTGAAAAGAAAAATTATTCATACTGCAGGTGTACTCAAACCAAAAAAAGATTTGGAAAAGGGTAATTAATACAAAAATTCCTGTTTATTTTTGCATTTATACCATTTTGGTTTTACTTTTCAAGTAACATAATTAGTTTCATATATTCTTACGATATATCAAATTTGACATATTAACTAAAACCAAATTAACATAATTCTCTGTATATTTGTTAATCACTTACTTTTAAACGTTTTTTTTTTTTTAATTTCACTTTTGCTTTTATGACCAACATGAATTTATGACATCATATTGGATATGTTCAGAATAAATTTAAAATTTTGTCTATTATTTATTGTATTTAATTCTATTAGAAGATGAATAAATTATTTATACAAATAAAATATATGAAAAAATTTGGTAAACAATTTATGGGGTTGACTTGCTTTTCATTTTATTTTTAGTAGAACGGTAAAAAAATGTAATCCAACAATTCTTTGTTTGTACCAAAATAAGAGAAAATTCAAATTGAGTCTCTCCCTTGAATTGTAATTTTATACACTTGAATTTAGTCTTTTAACTTGAATCCTTTTTTCTTTTTCTTTATATATATATATATATATTCTATTTATTTAGAATTTTAAAAACATATAAAATTATTAAACAAATAAAAACATATTTGGGTCGCATGAGTATGTATTAATATCCCAACTTGGTCTGATATAAAATTATTAAAGAAATAAAAATATATGGACAATTTGAGTCGCATGTATATGTATTAACACTAGAGCTTAGTCTAATCTCATTATTTTTTCAGTTAATATTCAAATAATTTCTTTTAAAAAACTACTGTGTTTGGAGTTAAGATAGCACAGATACTTACAATTACAGGTAAATTAAATTAATAAAAAAACATGTAAATTATTATTTTTTTTTAAAAAAAGAAGAAGATAAATTACATAAAGATGCACTTATTAAAGAGGTACTTGTTCCACTTACTAACAAAATGGAGTATTAAAATTTTAAATAGATTTTATTTCTTTTACAACACAAAATAAATTTACATATTTCTAATTAAAGAAAAAAAGATCTTAATAAAATAAATATTTACAAAATATTAAATAAGTATCGCTTCTCTTAATAGAGGAAATGAATGATTTTTTTTTTAAATAAAAAATTAC